GATGTAAAATACGAACTATTATCCGAAACTGGGGTTGCCGTTAGGTCATGCTGGCTAGAGATGCGTCGTCGGAAGGCGGGTGACAGATGCGGTCGACGGATTCAGCGGACGGCCACTTTGCGTAGAAGTCGTCCAGGCGTAGGTATGAGCATCCCCCTAAGTGGACCAACGAAATAGATAGGCGCTCGGGACCAATGCCTCTCTGGTGGTTGCAATGATATTAGCGGTTTTGCAGTCTGCTGAAATCGTGAATAGCGTGCAGTAACATAAAACAGCTTTGTGTTTTACTCAATTGAATACGCTTTGTAAGTAACTTGCCACAACGTTCCATGAGACGCTAAAAAACACGTTGTTTTGACTGACAAACGTCTTTGTTCCTATTTACTAGTTTGTACTGTTGCGAAATTTCTATTTTACAATCCTAGATAGACTACTTCCAATGCCACAAGCGTTAATACCCGGCCAGTAGGCAAAACTGCGAGCGATGGACTTCATTAGACGTGTACTATGATGAACAGCGTGAAAGTGATGGGGTACAGAAGGTCGAGGTGACAATAGAGCCAGCACACGCTCTGAAAACATGAGGCAGGAATTAAACACGGATAGCGATGCTCGACTTAGGAAAGGCTAGTCAAGACCATCTGTGAGAGCAGTGGTTGACCAACTACGGTGCATGTAGGTGAAAAGTTGACGGCGAACAGGATTCGGTTCGGTAGCGCACCAGATTTCGGTGGCAGTGACGGGTACGCCCTGTATGGCCTCTGAAAGCTGGCGGCAAAAATCATCCTCACTCGAAATGGCAGCAATCAAGATGCCTTCTTCGAGCTTCTGATGACTGTAGATGCGGTGGGAAAGGGCGTCAGTCTGGCTATACTCGGTAAAGCGGCAATAGTGGACGTCAAAATCGTAATCGAAAAGAATGGTCACACATCGTTGAAGCCAGCTGGTTAACTGGACAGAAATATTTTTATTCGAAACTATGGTAGACAACAACGGTTTATGGTCTGTCAGTAACGGGAAGTAATCACCATACAGCAGCTGGTGGAACTGCTTGTTGGCAAAAATGAAGTTTTATCGATTCTGGCCATGTTTCTCGGCAGGAGTTAAAATGCGAGATGCGTGCATACTAGTTTTTTTCAGACGCGTCAGGAAAGTTATTCGAGATGGCAGTATCATTGTCGCGATTGGACGCATCTGCAGCAGCAGCAACGACCGGTAGTGTCGAGTCATAGTGCGTGAGTAGGAGATCCAAACTCAACGTCGACTTTATTTTGACAAAGGCCTTTTCACAGTCAGAGGACCAGCATCAGGGAGCATCCTTCTACAGCAGACGGTTGAGTGGGGCCCGTAAGTCATGCTGCGACGGTAGGAAGGTGCTGCTCAGGCCAAGGAACGATCAAAGTTGTGATATATCCTTGGCTGGATGGCACAAATATTTTTGGCATCTGGATGGCGACCAGCGGCGTCAAAGATGAATCCAGGATACTTGATGGACTCGAGGAAAAGTTAACAGTTTTCGACCCACAATCTAAAGCCATATTCCAAGAAGTAAATGTCATCTATTGACAAAGTACTGAAACGCCTTACAGGGACGAAACTATTGTCAGGAGATACTGCAAAATGCCTGAACGAATGCAAGGCAAACATCGCGAAGATCTACGGTATACCCAAAGCTCACAAGCCGGAAGTTCCTCTGCGACCAATAGTATCATTAATCGGTGCACTGAACTACAAAATCTCTAAGTGGCTATTCCGACAACTCCACCCGCTTACGAGGGATTGTGAAACTTCCATTCAGAACTCTACGGAGTTTCTACCGAAACTAAGGGGGATCACAGTCTCCGATGGTGAGATAATGGTCTCCTTCGACGTCGTTTCCTTGTTCACCTCTATACCACTCGACGTAGCAAGGCAATGCACAGAAGAGGCCCTGAGGAGCTACGAAAGGAAGGTTCCTGCATTGCCGTCAACAGTCTGCTACGCCGAGCGAAGACAAACTGCTCTGACGAAGAAAGCCACTGAAACGAGCTTAATTATCTATTTTAATTGTTTTTCCGAAATATTTATCCCAGAGATTGTACGCCGATGCGAGACAGCAACAATCCAACAAAAAGGAACCAGATATTTCCACCCAGGCGCCCAAAACAAGCACATGGCGAATCCCTCCCTATATAAGGAACGTGTCTGAACTCGTTGAAAGACGGTTGCAGAAACACCAAACAAAAGTGGCGCACAAACTGATGGCTACTTTGCGCACCTAGCTAGTACACCCTAATGATAGGTTTGGCTACCTCGATAAAAAATAAGTCATCTACAAAATCTCATGGGAAGCTTGCGACACGATATAATGTGGCCAAACCAGAAGATCCGCCTCCGCACGCATCCACGAGCACCAATTGGCAGTGAAGAGACGTGACCATTTGTGCGAATTGGCTATACATTGCCTTGACACAGGACACATCCTTGCATGGGACAAAACCTGCATCGTCTTAGTTTGCCCCTCCAAAAAAGGCCAATAATTTTTTGAGGCCATGCATTCAGATGATTCATGCATCAACCGGCGTATCGAGTTGGCTGGAGTGTGCAAACACTTCAACTAAAGGTGGAAGAGATTACAGCCAAAAACTATGGACCAACATGCACCGCAATTAGCGCTCACGCCGGAGGACCTGGACTGACCCTGGAACGACTCAAATTACAGTTGCCAATTAGCCATTAGGCTACTGCGACTAGTAATTATGTCCACCATGATGTGAAGCAAACTGCAACTACCAATTAGCGTCCACACTAGACGACTATATAACTGTATGAGCACTTTGAAATGTTAATTGATCTTTGCACATCTTTATCAAGTCTGAAGACGTCCTGGGGATCCAGCGTCGAAAATTTACTGAATAAATCTCCTCATTTTCCCAAAGGATGCCTTTCCTTAAAAATACACTTCCTGGGATAGTTGCTTTCCATTTTATACGTGACTGACTCTTTTCCCAACAAAAACGTCGTGAAATCCTTACTCTCTCCATTCGGTAGCAGCTTCACCCCGAGGTATTCAAACCTGTCTACTCCAAGATGACGGCCATTAATCCCCAGGAGTGCTTTCTCCTGGTTAGGAATGCAGTTCAAAAATAATTTAGTCTTTCCGGTATTTACGGACAAGCCCACCGGCACAACGATCTCATTCTCATCCTGACTGTAAATCGCCAATTCTTGAGGCTAGCCGGGCGATATCATCAGCGTAGTCGAAATCAGTCAGCCGGTGCTCGGGCACAAGTTCAACAGTGTCCTCTTCATGCAGGGTCATAGGCCGAACAGTATGCGGGTTGAAATGCCTGGTCTATTTTGTTGTAAAGATCGAGAACTTTAACGGAAGCATGACAAAGGAGCCATTTAGTATTCATAAAAAACGATAGACAAACACCATAACGCACGTCGAACAACAGGTGAAGGTAAGCTTTCTTTGACAGTTTTCACTCTACGTTGTAATTCAAACTTACACCCCATAAACGACAGCATTGGTGATAATATATACCAAATATCCATTAGGAACACTGGAAGGCCACCGACATGCATCGGATGGATATCCCACGACACAGTAGTAGGACGTTTACTGGAGTATTGGAAAGAAAACGAAGCATGCTAGTAGAATTTATTACAAATTGCGAAAAATTATGTACAGGTAAGATCATAAAGTTTGAGGCTAGGCCATATTGGTGGAAGCACCCAGTTTTTCAATATGCTTACTGATCAGTTCTGACCGCTTTCGCAGATAGCTCTGCCAATGGAGCAGAACCTGATCGTCGATAAAGCGGGCAGACGGGGCACGAGCGATCTCGCGACGGAATTCCGGTGATTGAAGTAGATCCAGCATGTGTAAACAGTATGG